TTCCTTCCAGTTTCTTCTGAGAGCGGACAGGCAGATCTTTAGACAGGGATTATTCTCCAGAGTTCTTCAGAGAACAGACAGGCAGATCACCGGCAGAGAAACTCTTCAGGGTTTCAGGTTTCAGGCAGGTTCAATCATTACTGGCAACACTCTGGCACTGGAGAGAAGTCCTCTGCCTCCTTAAATACGGATCTCCTGATGAGCAGATGAGCGACAGGTGGTTGCAAGCAGCTCCGGCTCCAGGAGATCTCGTACGCCCTCTGGTGGAGAAAGTGGACAGACCTCCAGATCTCAACATTTAGGTTCTAGGACCCAAATGCAGAGGCGGAGAGGCAGCGGTGAGTTCTTGCAGTTTTTAATGAATCAACTCAGGTAACAGAAGCAGTAATCCAAAATCCAACCTAAAATGCAAAACTTAACCTTTCTCAAATTTATCCAGAAAATACAACAAAATAGGAATTAAACCAGTAAAACTAGAAAACATGGAGCAAAGTAGATCCAAGGCCGTGAAAAGAACAATGCAAAGTACTTCTACTTATTTGAGTTTGTTGGCATATGACTTGACCTCCAATTACTCCACTATACTTGCTCTAAAAGAACAGGGTTGGAGGCGGGCCTCCTCTTAAGCAGCAAAACAAGATGGCTGCCACAAAAAACACCCTATAAGGTAACGATTTCCTGGTGAGAAATCCACTGTTTCTTAACAGTTTGTGAACGACGAAAAGTCCTAAATAAAGAAAAACTTAATGGTAAATGTCAGGGACCAAGCAGTCAGGCACAGGACAAAGGCGTATAAAAAATATCCATTTATTTTCCGTGGTACTAACAAACAAAGGACTCAAAATTTAGGAAAAAAATTGGGCCAAAAGAAGATATTAACGAAGACAAATCTTACCAAGAATAACAAACCAGAACTGATCCTTCACAATAAACACAGGGGTATTTAAACACATGGGCTAGCCTACAAACAACCCTAATCTTTCAGACAAACAATAAATAAAGCTAGACAACAAAGTCAAACCTACAAATAATAACTACAACACAAATATGAAACTAAGACATTAAAAAAACAAAATGCTTAACTGTCTTAAAGTTTTAATATTAGCACAGTAATTCCTCCCATTCTGCAGCACTGGGAAACTGTGGGGCCAGCTCAAGGTAAATTGCTGTCGAGGTGATGCGGTTGAAGGCACATTATGTGGTTCAAGTTGTTGCAACAAAGCCGTGGTGCATAATTACAACAGGTGGTTGGAGAGTTTTTCTTCTAAAAAGCCACTGAGGTTTTGCAAAGAGGAGTGCTAGCAGATGACAATTACAGAATCACACATTTCCTTCCCGTTCTAACACATCCAGGCTTACTCCTTGTTCAATTTTTGTATCTTTATCTAATGTTCCTATTACATCCATCTTGAGCAGAAATGAATGACTAGCATTGGCGGGGAGTTTAATAAAAAAGTCTCTTCTGGTGCCCTTTTTCAGATGCTTAGTCAGTCCTCTTTTTCTTTTAGCAATTTGTTTTTTGAAAGATTGCAATGATTTAGAGATGTAAGTCTGCATGAACAAAATCTGATTTAAATGAGATTAGCAGAACTTGGAGGCTAATAGAAAAGAGAGGATCTGGGGCAAAGACCAGACCTGTTTTTAAATTTTTTCTTTAGGAGGTTAGAAAAAGCCCCACGGTGGAGGATCCAGGCAGCCGACAGTTAGGTATGTGACTAAGCAAACGGGGAAAAAATGATAGCTTTTGATCAGGTTTCAACAGCAACCTTTCATGTTCAGTCTGGAGAGTTTTAGCTAAATCTTTCTGACAGCCCACTTTAGCCAAGCATCGTTTGGATTTGCAGAGACTGAAGCTTGTCTAAATTATGAGTGGCTGTTGTCGATGACTATTAAACAGAGCATATGTGCGGGGTGTGCAAAGCAGGACCAAATGTTTCCAGTCAGGTTTGCAAAACCGATGTGTTAATTTTAAGGGTAGGTCATGTTAGTGTCGGGTCAGCAACAGAAGGAAAGGACAGAAGATTAAACAGTAAGAAAAGTTTAAATTTAAAAGAAAAAATGTGCAAATTTTCTAGATTATAAAGGTGCAAATTTAAAAGATATCCAAAATTTATGAGAAAATGCAAATTTAGAAGAGAAATTTTGCACATTTATGAGAATAATTATTTAAATTTAGAAAAACAAAACATGCAAATTTACAAGATTATAAACATGCAAATTTATTGTAACATTCATTTTTACTTTAAAAACTTACATGCAGAGGCCATTGTACCAGTGTAGGTGCCAGATCTCCTCGGGTGGTCAGATCTGCTCAGGCCCTGCCTTTTCTTATGATGTCATCACATGACAACGCCACTAAAACAAACTGTATTGCACCCCAACATATTATTACCCATATTTGCTATTATTTTACTTTTAATTGGTGATCTAAAGTAGCCAAAAGTAGAAAATATTTATTGTCAGTCTTGAAGGAAAGCACTGCGTTCTAAGACAGACTGAGCTCTGCCATTTAAGAAGGTGACACAAAAAGTCTCAGCTTATTTTTGTTGTTTTTATTAAAAGTATATTGGAGAATTTTTGCATATTTTGAAAATACCCACCATCTCCACTTAAAAAAATAAAAATTGCATGTGTACTTGCTCCCGAAAAGGAACCCCTATTAAATGCGTGTGAGAGCATTTCTCCTCAAAGATGGTTGCTAAGATGGATCTCATCTCACCCATATTTATATATAAAAAGTTTCCCGGCAAATAAGATTATTGGTACATAAAAAAAATCATGAAATGCTTGTATGTGTGTGTGTGTGGCGTGCTGCAGTGTAAATTTGGTAATGTTTGGGGGTTAAATAAGCATCTGTGGCCACCGTATAACTACTAATGATGCAAATTACAAAATAAATAAACTTATCTTCCCTGGAAAGTTATAATATAGAGGTAGATAACTTTTACTAGCAGGGATGTGAAATGTATTCCTCCAAATAGAATGCCATACTTAACCTGTAAGGTGGAAACTTCGCAGCCGTGGCCTCAGTGGGAAGCGCAACCTAAGCTTTCAGTGTATGCCATGGCATGAAAGAATCTTCCAAACACTCTGGTCTTTTTTTCTCATCTGAATGCTTTCTCTTCTTCTCAAACACTTCGTAGACACCTTTTCTCTTACGACCCTCTGCCATTTTAAAGGAACCACAGTGAAAGGAAGGAAGCTTCAATGACTGTCTGAAACTGTAGCCCACCACATAAAAGTGAGCATGCGCAGAAAAAGACAGCTAACTGAATGCTTGACAGTTAGAGAAACAACTTATTTTGATGATCCACCGGGAAAAAGAAAACCCTCCACTATACCTTTAAGATCTGAGGGCAGGGGAGGACAAATGGAAAATCTTAAAAATTACTTTTGTAGAGATTTTTTGCCCTAAATTTGTGTGTTTTTCCTCACTAATTTGCTACTTTTTCTCTTATATTTGCGTGTTTTGTGTGTCTGTGTTTTTACTCATAAAATTGCATGTTTATTCTTGTATAAATGGCACTTTAAACTCAAATTTTAAATTTTAATTCCATTTTTCTGTCTTTGAATGGCCCTAATGTGCCGTTAAAGATGTTCGTCCTCTTTGTGCTTAGTTTAGTTGAATTTGAGAAATGTACCAAGTCTGTACCAAGCAGAAACTACTTGATGTATTATATTGGAAAATGTTATATTGGAAAATAAATCTTTGAGTACCTAGCAGACGGTGCAGAGCTAGTTTAATGTTCCACAGATGGAATGAAAGCCACACTCTCCTGAAGCAAGCCTTCACAACCAGCTGGACAGTCCTCTCCAGCAGACAGGCAAAGGTTTTCTCAGGGAGGATGCCAAGTGAAATCCTCCTATAACTGGAACAAACCTTTTGGTCCCCCTTCTTGTGGATGTAGACCAACACCCCAGTCTCATAGTCCAGTGGAACTGTCTCCAACCACCATGCGATATTGGAGATGTGTATCAACTTCAATAGCTCAACAACATCCTGAGACCTAAGGTACTCATGGTGGATATCATCCATCCCGATACTTTGCCTCCCTATCATTTCTTGATAACCTTCAGTTGAGGGATGAATGAGTTCAATCTCAAGCACCCAGTGGCTCCATCCACCATATAGGCATGACAGGTGGTTTAAGGAGATCCTCAAAGTATTCCTTTTCCTTCTAACAATGTTCTCTCTCAACCTTAACCTGTTTGCCTTGGGAGACCCTGACGGGACATTTAAAGGGGAACACCGTTTTTTTTGCATGGGCCCCTTGATTTTACGTTACTACATCATGTTTTACTCACCCATATGAGTTTTGTGTCATTTGGAGCTGTTCTGAAGATATTTGGTTTTGTAATCCAAGTAACGTCTTCCTATGGGCAATGAGTTGAAGGCACAAACTAAACTGTTCATAATGTATTCTTTATGGTACGCTTTATGATATTCTTTATCACTGTCCCCCAGACATCCACGGTTATATTTTTATATTTATATTTTTTTAAAACAAAGCAGAATGTGTATGACGTCATCCGCGCTCCAGACTGGAGTTGTGACAGGCAGCCCGGGCCACAGGCGGCTACACTCTACCCCTTCTATTCGTTCGGCTAGCTAATCTGAATTGTTCAATTCCATTTGGATAGCGAGATCATCTGTGGTAGTAGCACTAGACATCTTCCAGGCATGTTAGTAAAACTAGCAGCTGTTCAGCGGACAGGATGAATGAATGGATGACGTCATACACGCACCACAGATGTCTGGGGGACAGCGATTCGCCTATATGTTCTGAATGCTGGCGTACCATAAAGAAAACATTATGAATAGTTTAGTTTGTGCCTTCAACTCATTGCCCATAGGAATACGTTACTTGGATTACAAAACCAAATATCTTCGGAACAGCTCCAAATGACAAAAATGAGTAAAACATGATGTAATAACTGTCATGTTGGGGTCTAATCTTCTAACCCACATGCAGAAACACTCCACAGACAGGGAAGAAAGGTTAAAAGGTTTATTGACAATGTTTTCAGAGAAATGTGAACTGGGTCTTGGTTCATCAGGCTGGTCACGGGAGGGAAGCAACTAGAGGAGGACAGGTTGGTTAGAGTGGATCCAGGAAACTTGCTGCTTAACGGAGGCTTGGGTTAATACCTGTTCAGGGGGTATTCTGACCGGCAGGGGGGGAACCTTGAGGGTCCAGAGGCTGATCGGCAGGCAGAGGGCTGAGGGGGAGACGGAGGCTGAGGCGGAGGGCAGACAGGCAGGTTCCAGGCAACGAGGGTTTTCTCCAGGAGTTGACAGATTACCGGATATGTCAGGTTCTGAGAGGCAGAAGAACACAGAGTCAGAGAGGTTCTCAAAAAATCAGGAAAACAGATCAGAATTTGCTGGCTCAGGTTTGCTGGTACCATTACTGGCAAACACTCTGGCAGGGAAGTGTCAGCCTCCTCCTCCTTAAGAAGGCCTCCAGACGAGCAGATGGAAAACAGGTGTGCAGAAGTCAGCTCACGCCCTCAGGAGGAAGATCTCAGGCTCCCTCTAGTGGAGAAAGGTGACAAGCCTCCAGATCCCAACAATAACGTAAAATCAAAGGGCCATTGAAAAAAAAAACTGTTTTCCCCTTTAATGCCCCGAAAATATACAGAAGTCTCCGGGATCATCATAGCAATGAAACCCCACTGAAGTGGTGGTTTAAGGAGGGGGTGCTTACTAAAAAAAATTTTTCATGCTTTCATGCAAGAATATGTCTCAGATCATTTAACTTTAAAATAAAAGGTTCACTCTTATTCAGTTAATGTGATGCTAAAGTTTTGTAGAAAAAAATTATCTAAGGCAGCGGACCGGTTATATGTCAGACAATATTTTCACGGACCGGCGTTTAAATTTTGGGGGGTAAATACAATCAAATAAAATGATACAACTGGCATAAAATCAAATACAAACAGCATAAAAATAAAACTCATCATTATGCTGAATTAGCGGGAGCCCTGAGCTTGTTTCTCTGAAACAAGCCGGTCCAATCCAGGCGTAATCGGAGACAATGACACACGAAGTGTGCTCTTGATGTCCAGTCTGCTCCGTTGCTTAGTTTTGGTCGCTGTAACCACAGAAAATCCCGCTTCATAAAGATAGGATGTTGGAAAGGGAAGCAGGGTTTTCAGTGCGTTTGTGGCGATCTCGGAATATTCTGCCTCGATTTTAATCCAGAACGCTGGCAGAGTTGTTGTCTGAAACAAAGTTTTAAGGCCTCCGTCATTTTCAATCTCCAGCAGTTGATCCTCTTCTGCCGTGGACAGGCTCGATTCACATGGTTTGTTCACAAATGGATCGCGGATCCATTCTTTTGCAGTACGGAGATCTTTTGTGGTTGAGAAGTACTGCTCGAACTCTTTTAAAAGCAAAGACAGGTGATTGTGCACCAGCTGTGAGAATGGCGGTTCAGGCTCAGTCTCTTCTAAAATCCCTGCTAATGTTTGAAACATGTCAAATATCCCTCTGTTCACTTGCCGTCCCCACAATTCCAGTTTGGCATTAAATGCAGCTACTTTATCTGCTGCATTGAAGAAATCTCTGCAGCGGCTCCCGTAAGTCAAACACTCTAGCCAACGATCTCCCTTTAGATAGCCACCTTACTTCTGTGTGTAAGAGAAGGCGTTTATACTCTGCGCCCATCTCCTCGCAAAGCTGCTCAAACAGACACGAGTTAAGGCATGCGCTTTGACGTGGTTAATAACTTTAACGACATCATTCAGTACGCTGTTTAGTTCAGGTGACATTTTTCGGCTAGCGAGCATTTCCCTGTGAATGACAGCGCGTGGCCTCACATTCAGGTGCAACCTCCTTAACCAGCGCAGTTAATCCAGAAAGCCGCGCAGTCATAGCAGTAGCTCCGTCTGTGCATATGCTGACACAAAAGGACCAATTCAGTTTTCCTGATATGTAATCATTCACTGACTTAAATAGTTCTGCGGCTGTGGTGTTGGTTGGCAACCATTGTGCACATAACATATCCTCATGTACATCCCCCTGATATATATATCGCACATAAACAAGTAGTATTGCCTTGTTGTCAATATAAGTAGACTCGTTAACCTGGATTGCATACCACAGCGATGTATTAATCCTCTCCAACAGTTGTGTCTCAATGTCCTCTACTATTTCATTTATTCGCCTAGTGACCGCTGAAGCTGAAAGAGGAACCTATTCTATCTTCTTAACTGCGGCCTCTCCTAGATGCAAATGTCTTTTGCAGCAGGCAGGATCAATTCTTCACCAATAGTCAAAGGTTTCTTGGCCTAGCAATACGGTTAGCCACTAAGAACGATGCTCTCAGAGCACTCACATTTGTTGATGTGGTGGCCATCAGTAGCCTACTTGCTTCTGTCCTTCTTGTTCACATTTTTTTCTTTCAAAAAAGTCCAAAGGTTTGTCTTTTAAGGCAGGATGCTTAGTCTCCATGTGCCGAAGCAGCTTTGAAGGCTTCATTGCCTCGATTGCTAGCCTGTCGCCACATATTATACAGAGTGGGTTCGGCGCGTGAGAATCACCTTGGGCGATAAATCCATATTTTAAGTAGGACTCGTGATATTGTCTTTTAAATGCAGCTTTCTTTTTCTTGGAAGTTGTAGCCTCTTCTTTTGCCACCTCATTGGGCCTTTTCCCCTTTCCAAAGAAGCTGTCCAAACAGGTCTGTTTCTTACTCATTTTTGCTAGCTTTAGGTGTTTTGACTGGAGTAACATATCACGTGTACTGAATTAACCTGTGTCAAGAGGCACAGATGAACCGACTGATGTAATTGGGAGAGAATACCCCAATTTGTTATATTTTTCAAAATAAAACATCACTCAGACTCTGATCATCGATAAATTATATATATCTATATATCTATATATATATATATAGATATATATATATTTTTTTTTTTTTTTTTCTGTGCGGCCCGGTACCAAATGACCAACGGACCAGTACCGGTCCGCGGCCCGGTGGTTGGGGACCGCTGATCTAAGGCTTGCCAGTTTCTTTAAATTTTTTTTATTATCTACTATCAGTTAACTAAGCCTACACCTCTGAAGTTTAATGATGTTCATGTGGAGTATATTTTAATCATTGCCGGATTAAAATAAAGTGCTGAACTGTTCCATATGGTGAATTCACTTGTTTCAGTGTTCCCGCTGGAACTAATAAGGCAGTCCATTTTCACCCTCTAAGTCTCCAGCATGTGCCAAAATGACTGATTTACAGCTAAGATGTTAAACAAACTCTCATAATTATGTATGTGTTATAGTTTACTTTTATACAGCCGCAGTGTGCAGCAGTTCACCGTCCTGTTCACACATGGAGGGTGTGGGCTTGAATTTATAAAGCTTTACACATAGGAGTCATTCGAACTCTAATCACATATGAGACTCAGTCTGTAGATCTCAGTTTTTTTTTTAAAAGCATATCAAGGCACTCATGTACTAGAATGTTTATTACCAGGGCACATATATTCAGCAGAAAATATGTGGGCCTTTCATGCTATTTTGAGAATCATCCTCGGATTGTGCTGACTGTTTTTTTGTGCAGCAATGATTTCACCTGCTTTGTTTTGTCTTTCTTTATACATCCCCAATGGACAGCTCATGAATAGACATCACTGTATCGCATCTTACTTTTATGCAGATGATATCCAGATGGACGGGTTTCCTCTTATAAGGCAACTTACTGGTACATTCATTTATACCATTAACAAATCCTACACAAACACAGTTTTTTTGACCAGCCAATGTCTTTTTTTTTTTGTAATTTGAGAAATTCAAACAAAGAAGTTTTCATTAAAAATTTTTATGGTTTTTCTTTCCTTACATTTAGACCAACATGATGATTTTTCTTGTCATAGTAGCTTCGTCTGGTCTGTTCCTGTTTGGCTGTGACACAATCCTGGGGAGAAATATCAGCTGTGCTTCAGCCATCAACATCTTTTTTTTTATAGATGTTGGAGCTTGGCCTGTTTTTTCAGTGCAGTCCTGTTTCTGTGACAGTGACTAACTGGATGTGCTATCTTCATCCTCTGACATGGAAGCTGGCTTGGAGCTTGTCTGCCTGGCTGTGTGTTTCCTGGATGGGGCCGCCTTTGGAGCTGGTTGACAGTTGCTTTCTATATCTCTGCTTCTTTTTGTATTTCTGCTTCTGTCTCCTTGAACTCCAGTCGGCCTCGGCAGATGGCTGCTCACACTGAGCCTGGTTTTACTGGAGGTTTCTTCCTGTTAAAAGGTAGTTTTTCCTCTCCACTGTTGCTACAAGTATTATTGGTGTGAGGAATTGCTTTTGAGTCAAAGGGTCGATGCAATCTACTGGTTTTCCTTCCTGGAAAACTTAACCAATCTGAATGTATGATCCAGTTGAATTGTCTCTGTAAGTGTGTTGAGATGACATGTGTTGTGAATTGGTGCTATATTAAAAAATTATTGAATGTAATCGAATGATGCATGATGATGTTTTGCATACATAGAAGCTCTTGATCACCCTCAGGTAGTCCAGAACTGTTTTTCCACAGCCTTGCAGCAAAACTTGTAACGGAAGTAACAGAACAGCTGTCATCACTCCTCTTTCTATGTGTTTTCACTAATTACCGATTCATTTTACACTTTATTTTACAGTTAGTTTACAGACTTAAACTTTCAGGGTTCTGAATATGAAGCTTCTTCCTAATCCAATGCATTGTTAAAGCTACTCACTCCAATTCAATGCCTTAGGTCTGGAAACTCAAAATTGACTCAAACTCTCTAAAGTCAGATGGGGAATTGTTCTCTTTGGCTGATGGATATTAAATGTATAAACTAGCTTTCTTTATTTTTACTGTACATTGTCTTGAAGACAATGTTTCTGTTTCTTTTGTTTGTTTTTTTTATTTTTAATTATCAATATACGGTAGTTTAATTCTTCCTTTTTAATTCTCTTTTTTGATAATGTTTACATCTTTCCTCTCTGTCTAATTAGTGGGTTTTTTTATTAATTTGTTTTGAGGAGTCTATATAGATCAAATGTTTTGACTACTAACCTAATAGTAGACATTTGTGTTCCTGACAGGCAGTTATTTACAGCGTCCCTTGTTGCACTTTCTGTGCAAACATACTGCAGTCATCATCCCCTAAAGGAAACCCTGCACCTCTATTGTCAAAAAGAATAATTACAATTTAACTGCATTTTGTATGTATGAAACCATGTTTTGAAAGTAGTACTTGAGGCCTGGGACGAAGGTTTTCAAGGCAGTCATTGAGGAGTGCTTGTGAGCGAGAGAGCATGTGTATCCATTTGGCTTTAGATGTTTTGTGAAAACCATTTTGCCTCTTCTGTTCACATGGAATACATATTACTTAAATATGTAGGATGAAAAAAAACATGCTGGGGTCTGTCCTTAGAGACCGCCTCCTTCAAACAACCTCTAACCTGCAGTAATGAAATAACTTTATGTAACTGTGGATATTTTTTTAAGTATGTGCTAAAAAAAAATGGGCTGAGAAAATACATCATGCGATTCTGGACATGGTGACATAAATGAGATTAATGTGATTGGGAAAACCTGTGGGTAATAGATATTTCCTTATATCTAACTGGCCATTAAACACAAAAACAAGACTAACACAAAGCAGAGCAGGGCTTACATTTCTTAAAGCATAAATGCATTTTAGCAGATATGAATGTCAGTGAAAAGTTTTACTTTTTTAATTGAATTCAATGAATCAACTCAAAAAGCAAAACTTAGATTTATTAAACACTGGCTAACGCTAATTAAAAAACACAAAATTCAGTTTCTCAGATGGCAGTACACAAAAGACTTACATACAGTCATGTTTGTGATGGTTAGTGGTTGAGGTGAAGGACTACGAAGCAAAAGGATTAATGCAGTTAGAGATAAAAAAAATAGGAATTAAACTGAATGCAAATGCAAATATTAGCAACAGACACAATTGACATAAATGGGCAAGACGAACACTAGAGTTGATAAGATAACTAAACAGACCATTAGTAACCAAGGATCTATTAAAAAGCTAAAAATCCTTCAATCAAACAACAGTCGTCAACAAAGTAACAAAAGATAAGTAAATTCCTTCATGTCCATGGTCTACGTCTGCACATAGGGAAGAATACTAATTTGGCCATTCAGTAGAGAGCAAACAGTACCCTTCATAAGGCAGGTAAACCATAAGAGGTCACTGCCAAAGAAATGGGTTGCTTATTAAGCTCAGTATCCAAGTCTGGCTGTAAATTCAAGTGGAAGACTTATGCTTGCCTACCACTTACCTCTTTCTTCACCCTTGTTCCAGACTTTCATTTGCAGCTCCACGCTCTGTTTCCAGCTGAACTGCATCTCTCTTCTGTCCCTTCACTACATTCGTTCCACTGGCCTCTATATGGGTCCCCTCATTATCCAGCCTCCATTCCACCACCAGTGTCAGAGGAAAAGATGTCTCTAACCTAGATCTTCCTGCTTACACAGATCTACGGCATCTAGCAACAATGTCTTCTGCCAGGGTCTGAGCAGCAAAGACTTACATTTCTTCATGTTAATAAAAGTTTCTAATTGCTGCTTTTTTTGGTTCCAGGCTGATACGGAAAGTTAAGTGAAGATAGTTAGTCCTAAGCCACAGACTAAGTCAGAGCCATCTTATAAATCAAAGAAAAAAAGGACCAAACTTCTGCTCTTTGGTCTAAAGTGCTCTTTTTAGATCAAATGTAAATGTTAGTCTCTATCTTGGGAATGGGTGTTCAGAGTGTGAAGGAAAACTAACGCAATTCAAAATCCAGTTTGCTTGGGGCTAATTGTAAAGTTTCCAAAAACAGCATATTTAGTATCTGTTAGCAGGGCAGGACATGAACCAATTATGCAAAAGTAACTAAATGTGATTAATAGATGCAAAAGATGCTATGACTATCTATTTCACGTTCAAAGTTAAAGCAGCCATACAGCACTTAAAGGGGAACATCGTTTTTTTTATATTGGGCCCTTGATTTTACGTTATTACATCATGTTCTACTCACCCAGTTTTGTGTCATTTGGAGCCGTTCTGAAGATATTCGGTTAGGTTATATCCAAGTAATGTCTTCCTATGGGCAACGACTTGAAGGCACAAACTGAACTGTTCATAATTTATCATTTATGGTATGCCAGCAAAAAATATAACAGCGGATGTCTGGGGGAAAGTGATTCGCCTACATGTTATGAATGCTGGCGTACCATCAAGTCCTTTGCCCATAGGAAGACGTTATTTGGATATAACCTAACGGAATATCTTCAAAACAGCTCAAAATGATACAAAACTCATATGGGTGAGTAGAACATGATGTAATAACGTAAAGTCAAGGGCCCGGTGTAAAAAAAAAAAAAAACCTGTGTTCCCCTTTAACGTTTCCCTTTGCTAAGCTCAGCTAAGATTCTATACAGACTTTCCTTACAGGAAAGTATGTCTTCCCTTTACAGGACTTACACACTACTAATGGTACCAATACCATGGAATCATTGTGGATGATTGGTTGCTAAATTGTACTGACCCAAATGAGACACCCCAATTTAGACCAACTGAAGGCCGATATTCTCCATACTCAAAAAATTATTCATCCGCTTTTAGCTGCTTTATCACAATTGTTTTAAGTCCTACCCTGCTAACCTAAAACATTTGTGTTAAAGTAAGTAAATGTTAACAACTGTTGCATTATTTTTATTTTTTTCAGTGTATGCATTAATGCAATAATGCATTAATTCAGAGCACCAACTAAGTAATGAGTGGATATACATTAGGGTATGTTTTGGAGGATTTTATTTATCTACAATAAACTTTAAGTTTAAACAACTTGAACTATATGAAGCTGTGAGTCCATATATGAGTTTGAAGTTGCTTTAATGAAATAATATTATCACATTTTAATTTAGGGCATCTTAGATGCACCTGTACAGATGAAGGAGTTGACCTGCTTGAATGTTTGGAGGATTCGCACGCAGATCTTTGCAGGCTTCAGCATCCTAACAAGGATTCCGTTTCAACTTGGCTGCAGTCTGAACGCTCCGCCCGCTCTCACAGAGGATATTGACTTTCCCGCAAGTTAAAGCATTTAAATGTAGAGGGAGGCAGATGCTGCTGGCGACCGCAAAAAGGAGCGCGCGTGTGGGTGGAAGGCTGGGGACGCAGGGACTTCTCAATCTGCGCCTATAGACAGACAAACAGCCGAGGCATCTTTGTTCGCCACTTTTTTAAAGAGATGCGCGCATCCTCTTTCCTCACACTCCGCACTCTTCTGGGACAAAAACTGTTCACCCAAATCTAAAACCCATCACCCTCCAAGATCAGTAAAGAGGGATTCATTTCTACTTGGAAAAGTCTTGTTGAATAACTGAATGACAGAAGTGGATTTGATGGAGGAGCTGGGGTGACTGACGCTCTTTGCAGGACTTCTGTTTTTTTTGGATGAAAACATTTTCTCCTCTCTGTGGAGTGGACCAGCGTTGGAACTCTGAATGTTCTGGACCGCTTAAATGTCATGGGTTTGGTTGTCAGTGCCCATAACGCAGGTTAATTCAAACTAAACCCCCCAAACACTCATCTGCAGGATTTTTATTTCTGAGGGCTTCCAGCGCCGAATCAGAGGAGTATTCATGAAGCAATATTTGAACTATTACAGGATGAGGCTGAGAGCATCGAGGTTAGGTTATCTGTAAGTCAACAGCTGTTTTAAATGTCAATAACATTACTACTTTTTTTTTTTGCAGAAGTCTATTTTTAATATTTTTGTGTATGTTGCAGGTTACTTCAATTCGCGGCTCTTTGCTTTTACGCACAGGTAACTGCCCATTCTAAGAATAGGTTGCATAAAGTTTTAATTTTAAGTACAGTTTAACATGTATCTGGTTGATTACTTAACGGTAAGTAGCGCAACTCCCTTCAAGGGGCTGCAGTAACAATGAAAACATTTTATTATGAGGGCTATGGCTGTTGGCAACTATTCAAACATCTTGAAAAATGTTAAGCTGCAGCCTAAAAGGTAATTGTTAAAACACATGTGCGGCAGGACGGTTGAAATGTTGAGGGCGAAAAGGGGAAAATACCAAAAAAAAAAAAAAGGGGGGGGGTAAGAAGTCATGAAAAGGTGAAAGATCATCGGTGGTAATGAATGCGTCTCCAAAACAGGCCACCCATAAATCAAAGGAGACACCAGGGGGCTGCAGGATAAAATAAATACAATAATAATATGTATTGCCATTTGTTTCCTATTAGGACACTGTGCAGTCAAGTCCTAATTTCAAGCAGCATGTAACGGAGCAAAGCCGGCTGTCGGACCGTATGAGCCGCAGACTAACCAGAACCTACCAGCTGTACAGTAGAACCAGCGGGAAGCACGTCCAGGTCCTGGCCAACAAGCGGGTCAACGCCAACGGGGAGGACGGGGCGGTGCATGGTAGGAGGAACACAGCAAATTGCTCTTCTGCAAATTCACTCAAACGAATGGGAATATTGCCTAATCACATTAACCTTTAAAACAATAATAAAAAAAAAAAAGAAAATTGAACTGAACATTCTCCCTAATTGACATGTCTGTTCTATGCAGTATCACTGACCACTAATGGATATTCTTATCAATGAATGCAGCACACCAGAAATATTTTATTTCCAAACAAAACAAACAAAGCATATTTTTTTCCAACTTGTTAACAAACTAGAATAGAGAGTGGTCACTTCAAGAGTTGCATTAAAAACAGAAATAAATAAATAAGATGCCTCTATCTCTTCACTAACAAACTGTGGCATAACAAAAAAAAGACAAACAAACTTTGTTTTTGATAAGTTCTTAAAAAGAACAGGTCTGACACCTTAGAATCCCCCATGCCAATAGAGGGCTTCCAAGAAAATTAATTTAATTACAGATAGATAGATAGATAGATAGATAGATAGATAGATAGATAGATAGATAGATAGATAGATAGATAGATAGATAGATAGATAGATAGATAGATAGATAGATAGATAGATAGATAGATAGATAGATAGATAGATAGATAGATAGATTTTTTTTTAATCATCCAATTTTTACAATGGGACAAACCATCAACATCTTTATCAAATAATTTGGGAATAAACTTCTAATTAAGATTGCTGCTAATACATGTTTATAAATGGGTGCACAAAGTAATTACTAACACTCTTAGTAATACTCTGTTTGTTATTGCTCCATTACCACTGTATATAATCTTATTACTTTGAATTTGCATGTGTTTTAATTGTTTTTGGTGGAGGCTTTAGATAAGCCCAAATGGCTTTTTGCCCCTTCCTGCACTGTATTTCCCTGTTAACTTCTTTTCACTGTATATTCGATGTATTCTTTCATGCAAACTAAACTAAAAACTAAATTAAGCTGGTAATTATTTAAAAAACATGAAAAAGAACTTACAGTGCATTGGAATTAGCCAGAGAGGAAGAAAACAATGAAGTATTAACTAATTGACTGGACTAAACAAAACTCTCTTCATGATTGTGCACTCTGAAGAGTGTGCGCTTCATTTATGATTATTGGATATCCAATACATGTTAAAAGATTTCTTTTGACATTTGATTATGTAAACATTACATTTATAAACAGTATTTTTTAAATTATATGCCAACTTTAGTTTTTCCTTTCCAAAAATTTGTAAAACGTTATTTCAAGATTAATGTATTTAAATATTAATATTGCTTACCCTATAGTAACTAATGTATAGACTTAAATACTGAACTTTAAATAGATAAAAGTAAAATAAAGTAGCAGGAAATACTGTAAATGGCTGCTTCCCAATCCCCAATTTAATTGAGCATTATCTAAAAGCTTTATTTGAAGGTTCCATTTAATGCATGATTAGTCTACTTGTTAGGAAAAAATCTTGAATCTGTGTTTCATCATTTTGCCATTTACTTTTAAATTGCCCCTAACTTTTGAATTTGTATGAAAACTGTGTGTATGACTGTCAGGCCAAATAATTCTGGGGGGGGGGGGAAACGTAACTGTAGATGTTAAACAGTGGAATAAAGTTGTTTGATTAAGGGCATGGTTTTACCTGCAGCTTAATCCACTATCAAATTCTTCATAAGCTTTCATAGAACCTCAGGCTGGCCCTCCTTCCACCCATCTTCCCACCACCATCCTCCCACCTGCAAACTCTGAGCCTGTTGGACATTATAGGGAATTTTCATTGCTTTCCAACTCAATGTATGACTCAGTTTATAAGCAGTGGTTAAAGTCAGCATCTTTCTTTCCTTTCCTCTTCTGTGTGCACCTTTTAAATCTCTTTACACTCATACAGAGAGAGCAGCTTTGCTCGCTTCAGCTGCACACCTAAGTGGGAGTTTCTCCCATATACAAGCCCACAAGCCGACCGCTGCTCCGTACTTGTGGTTTTCTCCCTCCGACTGCAGCATTCTCACTGTCCTTATTCCCCCTGAGCAACACAGAGCCCAGTGTTTGACAGGCACTAAGCACAGTCAGGTCATTAGAAATCACTAGCATTTGTGCTATTTCAGAAAGGCTTTGTTGCTACTGTTAAAAGCAGCTGTTGGATTATAGGAGATAAAGAGGGAATCCATATAATTTTAACTATTCTATCTGAGCAGCACCACTTAGTGACTCTATTCTATTGGCATTGTGTTTATATTGTCTTCTTCTTGTTCTTTGTCTGTGCAGCTAAGCTGGAGGTGGAGACAGATTCCTTTGGGAGTCGAGTTCGTATCAAAGGAGTGAAGACGGGATACTATATATGCATGACCGAGAGAGGGAAGCTGATTGGCAAGGTGTTCTGGAATTAGTGAAGCAGCATCTCGAATGTTTGTTTTTCACCTTGGCTTGTCTTATAAGAGCAGGACACATTTGAAATCAGAAAGATTAGCTTTATAAGTGTGTAGAAATATGAAATTATGTTCAAAGCTCCCTAAACACCCTGGCCTTATGTTTTTTTTTTTCTTTACCAGCGAAAAGGACGAGGGAAGGACTGCATCTTCACAGAGATTGTCTTGGAAAACAACTACACAGCGCTTCAGAATGCCAAATACGAGGGCTGGTACATGGCGTTCACACGCAAGGGTCGTCCAAGGAAGGCCTCCAAGACCAAGCAGCACCAGAGAGAAGCCCACTTCATGAAGCGTCTACCTAGGGGACACTTACTAAGCGATAGGAGGCCCTTCGATGTCCTCCCGCTGCCTGTCCCCGGGCAGCCTTACAGCAGGCGGAATAAACATTCCCATCAGCAGTGCTCCAGGGGACGCTGAAGAAGAACCACCCAGAGGATCAATTTTAGGAAAAAGCAGAGGTTGAACTCAAGTGACCACACACTTTCTTACGATTTGCCTCATTTCTGGACTTCTTATGTAATTTTATTTATTTTATTTTATTTTTTATTTTATGTAAACTATCTAATCTGCTAGTTATTTACAGACTTTAGCAAGTTTTATTTTATTTTCTTGGTTATTAAATCAGGGCATTTTATGTTCTGGTGAGCTCAACAATAATCTCATGAAGAATTAAAGTTAGCCAGCTCAGCATTAAAGTATGTTAAAAGTGAAGCTAGACTTGGCAGCTATCTGTGGTTACAGCATCCCTCAGTCTCAGTCAGTGCACTCGCTTGGAGAATTATGTAACCTGTTTGTTTTTCTACATATATGGAAATATTTTTACTGTAAAAATGTAAATTACATCAAATGATGAATATATTTATTGTAGAGTGTATATTAAAACCACTAAAGAATTTCATAAGCTGCTTGTGTGCGCTCTTATGTCTTTTTTAAAACTAGAAGCTACCATACCAAAGCCCCCACACCCCACCCTAAAAAACAAAGTTGTTTTTTCTTCGTCTTCTTCGAGCTGAAAACCTAGATAACTGAGGGGCAATATCTGTGACAGGCTACTGAATTCAATGTGCTCAGCAAGTGAGACTTGGGCCTGAATGGCCTGAGCTATGCATTAAAAGCGATGAGGTCAGCCCACCATTTTGGCCCAAACAAAGGTTACCACCATGTAGTTGCATTTCTCACGATCGCACACCGTAACCCTCTGATCAAATGGGCCCTTTGTGGGACCTCATATAAAAGGGCATGTTATACAATAGTGGGTTCGAATAATAACACGAGGAGGGGTCAGTTATCAAAAAGAAGCCAGTCACACAGGGGGAGGGGTATGTGGCGGTGGGGGGAAATGGGTATTCGGGGAGGAAGCTGAGGGGGAAAAGCACCAGGGCCTGTGTGGCAAAATGTGGCATCAACTGAAAGAGGGGGAACGGCTGGGAAGAGGCATTCGGGAATGAAAGGGAGGCAAGAAAGAAACTCTCTTCGCAGAAGCAGTTGAGCATGACCATCAGAGGCCAGATGACAGGGGAGAGGAAGACCCTAAACAGAGCAGCTCGGCTTCTCTCACCAAGCATGAGCTGGATGTCAAATGTGTTTGTTTGTGTCTCCTGCTGCAGGGATACAGATTTTCCATCTTCTAGGTACAGCCATAAACAACCTATTTATTTGTGATTTTATGTGACAGACCAGCTCAGTCTTGCACTTAATTGTGGAGTAAAAATTAGGTTTCAAAAAGTGACACCCCTAAATAAAATCCATTGTAAGCTTTAGAATCTACCTACTATGAAAATAAGAGTGAACCTATTGGTGACCCTACTGGCAGTCAGAACACACAATCACTATGGTGAAGTACGGTGGTGGCAGCATCATTCTATGGGGATGCTTAACTCCAGTAGGGACAGGGAAACCGGTCGGAGTTAGTAGATAGGTGGATGGAGCTTTGAACTGAGTCGTTTAAAAAAAAAAAAAGTTGTGAGTGGATGAGAATTTATGTTAACCTACAAGCAGAACAATCCCACAGCCAGAGCTTTAATTAGCTGTTTTAAATCAGCTTTTAAATGTGTCTGCATTGCCTAACATGGATCAAAGCATAAATCTGATATTTTGGCAACTCTAAAAAACTAAGGAGAAACTGTCTATCCAATTTCCCTGAGCTCAGGTTATTTTGCAGAGAGGGACAGGAAAACATGTAAACCTTTAAAAGAGTTAGGCTGAACTAAATGACAAGACTAACTGAAGTGCATTGTACTGACTAAGGTCTAGCACACTTTTTTACAGTTTAAATTTTTTTAAAAGAAACATATATTATCTCTTTTCTACTTCATATTTGCTTTGATTGGTCTGTCCTACAGACAAACTATGTAGAAAATTTTGAAAGTGTGAATACCATTATAAGTTACTGTATCAGCAGGTAGTTACATCCCCATTACTAAGAGATTATTTTCAGCTTTTAATACTCAGTATAAACATTTTATTCATGTTAGCACATTTACTTGAAAAAAAACAACAATTTTTGTGTGGTCAGTCTAGAGTTTAAAAATATATAGAGTCCCTCAAAAGAATTGGCAAAACAATAGGACTGACTGGTTTCAATCTTTTCTGGTGTTCCATCCTTTCCATCTGGAAGAAGACAAAGCACAATGGTGAGAGAGGACCTGTGGTTTTGTCTCTGCTTTTTGCACTTGCTTTTTGGGTTTGGACATGCTTTGAAAAAATGCAAGGAATTACAAGTTTGAAATGAACTATTTTTAAGTCCCATTGTCCAATTTGAACACCTCTACTGCTATTTATGTCCACTTTTTAAATTACTTTACATTTTTTCAATATTTGGTAAGAAATTAGTCAGAAAAATGCTTATTTGATGTTTTTAGTGTACTCTTGTAAAAAAGAACAGATTAACACATTTTTATCTATCAAATGGTTTCATAAAGGAAACTAAAACTACAATCCCATTAATTGAAGTGTATACCTAAAGTTGCATCTATTTTCATCTTTTGCAGCATTTCAACCGCAACCCTAGTCAGACTGATGCGTTGTAACAGGAAACAGTAAAACCAGCCTCTCTGATGGCTTTCAGGGTGGCCAATAGCAAGCAAACAACATGAGGGAATACATTTAACACAAATGAGACGTGGTCGTAACCGTGACCTCTGAACAAACATAAAGCATTGTGTGTCCAGAGTGTTTTACAAGGACATCGGTGAAAGGAAGGTGGTAGGTTATGTGACCTTCCTTGCTACCCCCACCAAAACAAGAAAACACCTTCAAATTAAGTCAAGTAAAATAATATATTCTTAAAGAATTAAACACATGACTTAGAGCAATATACAAAGCATGCAAAGCTAATAAACAAGTTATGAAATGGCAAAATGCAGGTATAATTTTTTATTATAAAGTTAACATCAAGGGAGCGATTAGACACCAAAACTGAAATCACTAGACCAGAAACAAGGCTTTGAGAACCCAAACAAAGGGATCCTCTAGAAAAAGCTTAAACACAAGCTTGCAAGTAAAGTGGGAAATGACAATCCCTTGGCTGCTGCTTTGAATGCAGTCCTCTATCATTTTCTTTTCATCGCGCTCAGAATTCAATGGGTTTTACAGTCAACGTCCCCTTCACCCGTCCCCTTCAGTTTCTTCACTTCCTTCAGCAGCTCCTGTTCGAGGGTTAAAATCTCTTTGGGTTTCTGGTACTGGGAAAAAAATAAAAAAAGAGAGGCTTGGTCCAGTGTGTGGAAATCTTTTACAATTATTTCTATACAAGAATTAACCTTTTGTTAGAAAAGAAACAAAGAACTGATTTAACAAGAAAGAAAAAAAACATTTTAGAGGGATGATAAAAATAAAACAAACCTGTCCTTGTAGTACAGAAACAAAAGTATTCAAAGCCCCTGGAACTTTTTCATTTTGCCATTCACAGACTTTAATATACCTTATCTGTATTTTGTGTAGAATAGCTATGCAAAGCACTACATAATACAATGAAATAAACATTTACATAAAAAAAAATACAACTTTAAATGCATTTAGCCCCTTAATTTCTAATTTTGTAGAGGCACCTTTCAAAGCAATTATGGCAGCAGGCCTTATATGTGTTTAGCTAAATAAACACTCTTTTCTTGTCTTCTCTTTCAAAAAGAGCATCTTTGAAAATCCAATCTCAAGTATCCAATTCACTGTTTCTTTAGCTGCATCATTTTTTCCACCATGCAGCCACCTGATTGGCCGCATGTTTTTTTCTTTTTTTAACTGCATCAAGGCTGATTGACACAGTTAGTTTTCCTCCTCACAATGGCGTGGTGTTGGCTAAAAGTTAGTTTTCTGGAAAGAGCTCCTTCATTTTCAGGTTTGCGGTTTCCTGCATGGCTCGTGGCAAACTGATAATTTCATTTTTAACTGCTGCATTTCAACTATGGCTTTTTAGATTTCTGAAGTTCACGAATCATAGTTGTGTCTTAATCAAACTGAGGAGCTCTATAACACCTTAACATTGGCCTCTTGGCAGCTCCCTGATAATGCTCACTTTTCCCAGCCTGTCAGTTTAAGTGAACGGCCATCTCTTTGTAGGTTTGCTGCTGTTCCACGCTCCTTCATTTAGCAGATAATGGATTAAACAGTCCTCCGTTTCATGTTCAGCGCTTTGAATATTGTCCGGATGTTTGTTTGAGCACTTTACACAAAACAGCTGAATTTATATTGAAATTAAATTGGACAGAGGTTAGCTCTATTTGCCATCTAGAAAGGTAGTAGGTCAATCTGGATTTTGTTGAGGTGTATCAAAGTAAAGGAAAGTAGACAAAAAAACCCTAAATCACAGTTTTCCTAATTTTATCTGTAAAAATTTGGAATAATGTGCAGCATTTCCCTCCTCTTCATGAATATTTGCTTAGTATTCACACAAAATCCCCCAGACTGTCATACAGTTTGTGGTTACAGCAGTAAAAAGTGTAAAGAAATTTAAACTGTACAATATTTCTTTACATTACTTATAATCTTACATCCTTTGGATTTTGTTTTTTATTTTTACAGTTTTTTTAAACCAGACCTGTTGTCCTGAACTTTAGATCAAAACAGATTTATTCCAACACTGCAAAAACACATCTAGAAATAAGTAAAAAATTTATTAAATTAAGTGTATTTACCCTTAATTTAAGCAGGTTAATAAGATGATCTGCCAATGGAATGAGTATTTTTACTCCTAAAATAAGATTATTAGATAATATACACTTGAAATAAGACAAAGCAATTGTTTTTTTCTTATTTTAAATGTAAATTATCTTGTTCCAATGGCAAAGTCTCACTTACCTCCTAAATTCAAGAAAAAATGCACTTAATTTGAACAAAAATTACTTATTTAGATTTCCATTTTTTGCAGTGTACAATTACATTTTTTTTCCTCTTCCTTTCTTAAACTGGTAAACATTAGAGATAAAATAATAAAGGGGCGCCGGGTGTGACTTACACTGACTATTAAAGTATTGTTGGCGTGTGTGTAACTGAGTGCAGATGCACTGAGTGGCAGCTTG